TCCCTGCTGCTCTTCCTGCTCGCGTCTCTGCCCCCACCCCTTCCCAGGCACCTCTGCCCTAGAGCGCAGCCAATCCCCGCCTGCCGCCACGGGCTCCTCGCCCAATCGCCGCGGTCTTCCCGCCCTCCTCCCTGCCCCGCCCACGGGGTCATGCATTGGCCAATCATTATGCGATGCTCCCACACCGGCTTTCCCGGTTGGGCCACGGCGTCACCGACATGGCCCCAGTTAATTGGTAGCTCCCGGATTCAACCAGCCCGGAATGAGAGCGGCCCCGAAGACTACAAGTGCCACAATGCACTTCATGGGCTTCTCTCGTCGAGTGCTCTCGGGAGGCGTAGTCCACCGTGGGGTGTGCTTTAAAAGTGCAGGTGGCTGTTGGAATTAAAAGAACTTAGCTAACACCTGGGCTGGACACTAACTCAAAGCCTTGAACCCCCGGGCTTTTTTTAAATTTTGTTAGCCAAAATAAATATCAAGAAACATGCAATGTAATGTGTTAAACTCTTCCTCTTCATTTAATTTGAAAAATTTTAATTGGAATAGTGATATCAGCCCTGAGGAAAAAAACACAACAGGTAGACTGAATTAGAGGTATATATTCTCTGTGAATTAGAGGTATTTTTTTAAACTTAGATAAATAAGTACCATATACAGGGTGAGGCAAAAGTAGGTTAACAGGTTTTTTTTATGAAAAAACCATACAATAATTAATAAATAACACAAAAATAAACTGTATTTAACATACTCACAAGTAAGTCTACTTGTGCCCCCCCCCCCCCCCTGTATTTAAGGCCCCATGGTAGATGCTACCTGGACAAATTAACCACCCTGCCTGTTTCACTGTTTTCTACTGTAGCGGAGAAAAAAAATTTTTACTTCTACATTTTTTTGGCTGGTCTAATAATCTAGCATGAAAGAGATGAACAGGAGAAAATAACTAAACTCATTACATATGTATATACAGGGGTTCCTTAAGAATAATGGGACCCCAGGAAACGTCGGTCAGTTGAGGCTTATATGCCATTCAGGACTACCAAGAGGGAGACAGGGGTCTGGAATTTCTAAGGGAAAGTATGCAATTCACAAGTAGATGAGAAAGAGCAAAAATAAGATAAAGTAATTCTTGCTGGCCATCCAGAACCTATAGGACACAGAGGGAAGTCTAACAAACAGACTTTGCTTGGCTTCCCCCTGTCTGCCACACTTAGGTCATATTATGATGCTAATTCCTTTAAGCAGGTTTTTCTGAGTTCGTTTAGGTAAGTAAAGGGGGAGGTTCAAAGGTCCTTTCTGAGTCCTTTTGTTTTCTTAAAAATAACCAGCTTAAAGTAATAAATATCCCAAGAAGGCATTTTGGGGGGGCAAACTCTGCTTCCCCTCCCCAGATTTCCACATTCATTAACACACTCTCACCTTCTCATGGGATCTCCTACCTTCTTCCCACTGTCCTTACTTCTTCTTCTTAGTCACAATTTTGGCATCTTTCCAGTTTCACTTGCATTTAGTCTTGACTGAGCCTTCTTAACCAGGCCAGTTCTCATTAATTTTCATTTTTCTAAGTGTCCACAGGACATTCAGAAGCTTGCTTTGTAAATAGGTTGTAAGCTTACTGAGCCCAGAGACAATTATATAATCCTGTGTATAGGTATATAGCACTGGGTAGGTAAATAGCACATATAGGTATATAGCATTGCCAGCTACTAGGACTAGATAATTATTTATTGATAGATATGTCTTACCTCTAAAGCATTTGAATAATAAGATTCAAAGTACTTATTATCTATTATAAGTTTAATCTTAAAATGTCTTACAGTGAAATATTAAGGGGCATTTGTACCTCAATTATGCAGAAAATTTACTTCACTCATCTGCATCTCATCTATAAAATGGGTATGTTAATAATACCCTCTTCACCAGGTCTGTTGTGAGGTTCAAAAGACATATGCAGAAAAAAAGTTCTTCCTTCATTACAGAATGTTCTACAGATATTATTTCTCATTGATTGCTTGGTTGAAGCAAAGGAACAAAGAATACGAAAAAGTTAGTTTTATTAAGATGAATAATATTAGTTTCATCCCCTTAATTTAAAAAAAGGTTTAGAGCTATTGTGTTTAGCCAGCAATGAGTGATATACCTGTTCTGAGACTGCTCATAGGACCTTGACTTTTGGGGGAAATTTCAAGTCTCCAAAGCAGGTAATGAATACATTGTGGAAAGCCAGCTTTATTTGATCAGCTTGCTATATTGCATGACAATTAGTTAGTGAAAGGTTGTGAATTCTCCATAGCCTTTATCCAGCATACACTCCTCAAGGTTTCCTGTCAACATTCCCAGTAAAAGTTATGTACTCACTCTACTAGCACAAACTGTAAAATTATTTATTAATTCATAGACTTCTTTAATATTTGCTCAGCTGTCTGTACTCTGTTTAAGTTGTCCATATCAGTGTTCTGAGTCATTGTCATAGATTACCAAGTTGCAGAAAACCTGTTTTCTCTGCATTACAGCACAGCATAAGGCCCAGATAATAAATGCCTTTTATGTGGATAACACTGATGTAACCTTATTCCACTGAAATGAATCAAGCAATCAGTAAATATTGAGACCCTCCTGAAAGTGTTGAGGACTTAAATCCAGCTTGCTCTTCATGTAAGGATGGTGAGACAATGCCGAGAGCCTTTTCCTGAGAATGGAGTGTTTGTCGCTAACTCTAGTCCACTATATCCTTTTCTGTGCTATTCTTAGGGATCTATTTGAGTTGGCAGTGAGGGCAGGCTGCCAGTGCTTGTATCAGCATATCTGCCAGGGTAAAACTAGGGAGAGGCAAGGAGTAGAATATGCCCCCCCCCCCCACCAGAGCTTGGAGGAGAATATACTTTCTTTGATACTCATGAAGTGAATTAAAGTCATTATTTTTGTGTTCCTTTTCCATGGATCAATGAAAATATAAATCCTTGCACCATATTGTGAGATAGAACCTAGTATCTCACATGTACATTCTGATCTCCTTGAATAAATGGACAATGGCTCTTTTTGTTGTTGTTACCCCTCATCCAAGGATATTTTCCCCATTAATTTTTAGAGAGAGTGGAAGGGAAGAAGGGAGACGGGGAAGTGAGGGAGAGAGAGAAAATGAGAGAGAGAGAGACAGAGAAATATAGATGTGAGACAGACACCTGGATTGGTTTCCTCTAGAGCAGGGAATCAAACCTGCAACCTGGATACGTGCCCTTAACCAGAAGTTGAACCCAAGAGCCCTCAGTGTGTGGGCCCAGGCTCTAACCACTTAGCACACTGCACAGGGCTGGACATGGCTTTATTTTATTTTTTTTAAATATATTTTTATTGATTTCAGAGAGGAATGGAGAGGGAGAGAGAGAGAGAAACATCAATGATGAGAGAGAATCATTGATTGGCTGCCTCTTGCAAGATCAGGGATTGAGCCAGCAACCTGGGCATATGCCCTGACCAGGAATCGAACTGTGACCTATTGGTTCATAGGTCAATGCTCAACCACTGAGCCACCACAGCTGGACTGGACAATGGCTTTATACCTCATTATATCACCTGTAATCCCAGGTACATATCTATATATATTTAAAGAGGTAATATACAAATTAGGCTGGGACACCATAATGGTCACCACCAGCTCAAGAGGAGGGGCCTGGTGCGGGCCTAGAGCCTGAGAGAACAACAGACAGGGCGGCCATTGCCCGGTGAGACACAAACCCGCAGGGGGGGCCAGCCCCCAGGCCCAGCCCTGCGGTTGCGGCACTGGGCTGCTGGGGCTGGAGCGGAAACACAAATTTGCAGGGGGGCCGGGTTCGATTCTGATCAAGGGCATGTACCTAGGTTGCAGGCTCTTCCCTGGCCAGGGCCCAGGTCAGGGCTCATGCAGGAGGCAACCAATCGAAGTGTGCCTCTCACATTGATGTTTCTCTCTGTCTTTCCCTCTCTCTTCCATGCTCTCTAAAAATCAATGGGAAAATATCCTCATGTGAGAATAAAAAAAAAAGAAAGAAAGAAATGTCATATCCTATAAAGGAGACATCTTGAAAATGCTCAAAGAAAGTTGTCTTGTTTGGTGGTGAAGGGACTGGAGTCAGTGTTGATGAAAACACCTTGGTGGATGTGGTGGCCAGCAGTGGCAGCAGCAGCGAAGTGATGGGGGTGGTGCCTTCCCCTGATCAGTCCAGTTGCCTCCTGTAGAGGGAGGCTAGACTGCTGTGGGGAGCGGGCCTAAACCTTCAGTAAGACATCCCCTGAGGGCTCCTGGACTGTGAGAAGGGGCAGGCCTCTGAGCTGAGGGACACCCCCCCCCAGTGCACAAATTTTGTGCACCAGGCCTCTAGTTTAGTAATAAAAATAAATAAGTTTTGAATGTTTGTTGTTACTTTCCGTGATTATCAAGTGCCATAAAGGTCAGAGTATAGGTCTCAGGTTGTAGAGCAGTGTACTTAAAACACCTATGCTCTGCCCTAGCTGGTTTGGCTCAGTGGATAGAGCATTGGCCTGCAGACTGAAGGGCCCCAGGTTTGATTCCAGT